TGTCTCCCTAATAATGAGGGACAAAGACGGGCGGGAAACTCCGAAGGCGTTAGCAGTCTTCCGTAGCCTTCCCTCGTCGCTCAGGTAATAAAGAACCGCAGCAACCCTTTTCAGTGGATCAATTGGCGCCCTCATGTTTGTAGTTTTCTTCTCGATATATGGGCGCAGTTCTTCAGTCAGGGCAACGACAGAGGCTTTGGACATGCGGAAGTTCTCCCTCCATTCATCGTCCACGACAACGCCATTGACAAAATTGTCCCACCAACTGCTAGTTCTGCCCGGGTCTCTTACCCAAAACTTTCTCCTGGTCGCCCTTCTGGTTGTTCTCCGCGGTGGATTTAGCCACATGTCGTGTATGTGGTTCTTCATGTCCACTAGTTGCTTGTGGTTGTCGTAGAAGCACCGTAGTTGTAGCACTAACATATTAATCATGGTCAGTAGCGTCTGGAGCACAACAGCAACCCTGTGATCCGCCATTCTGGTTGTTGTTGTTGTAGAAACAAATCAGCAATGAGGCGGGGGAGAGGTGGGAAGAGGTGCGAAGAGGCGGGGCTGTCGTTATTTTTTCAGGCAATATTCGTATAGAGGCGATTAAAACGGACTCGGTTGACCCCCAGAGCGTTTCGTTTGCAAATCTATCCACCTTGGGACCCGTTATCGTTTGTGTGGTCAGTTTCTATCGGCCTCGTCTAAATAATAGGGCTATACGCACGCGAAACTATGCAGATACAAGCCGTTTTATCCTCGTCTAAACGGCGCCTAAGCCTGCAGAACCACAAGTCAAGAGGACAGAGGAGCCAGATAGCAGTGGTGACTGAGACAGAATAAATAAGGAGAGAGGGCCCATGCAGAGGCAGACATCAGTAGTGAGGAATCAGACCCAAAAGATACGAGGACAGAGGAGCCAGATTGCAGTGGTAAGGAACGCACTGTCATTTAATTTCACTGTCATTTTACTTTTCACATATCACTTTATTCACTACTCAGCTTAGTTATCCTTGCCATGAAGGAATGAATGATTGAATGGATGAATGTTCTATATTATTTTAATGACAGATTGAACCACAGCAATATTGTTTAGAGATGTTATATGTTTAACTGCTATGCCTGTCATCTCTGCTCTGTGTCATTGTGTTGTCTCCTGGGTTCTGTAGTGCCTGAGTCTGTCTTTTTATTTTTTTCCTCCCAAACCCATCCCCTCAGGACGCCTTTTGCCTCCTGTCAGGTCATCATTGTAATAAGAATTTGTTCTTAATTGATTTTCCTGGCTAAATAAAGGTTTCTACTACTATTTATTCAGTTATTTTATTACTGTACTGCTAATTGCCATTATGCGTATTGTTGTATATTGTATATACGTATGTATTTACTACTACTACTTACAAAATCGGAGGCGTTGTCAGCTTGTGTCTAGTACATATTTCAGGGTTTTTCTATGCCTTTGTTCATCTAAATTCTATATACTCATAGGCGACTACCACTCCTGCCGATGCCGAGGCCCAGTTCTCCCTTCCCACCACCCCAGGCTCATTGTGCTAGGTAAAACTCTCATTCAATAAAAGTAGTCTTTTAAAGGTGGGGTAGGTAATTTTGGAGAAACCGCGCTCGAGATCGCTAGAATTTGAAAATACACAGCCGGAAAAAATGTGCCACTTCCCCTTACAGAGCCCCTCCTCCAACACACACGAACGCGCACATGACCAATGAGGGCACGAGATAAGTTTGTGCACAGATGGAAAGGCTGACAGGCAGGTTGGCCATCCAGTCATTTCAGCCGGGCCAGCTAAAATGATTGGGTCGTGCTTTTTTACAGTACCACGGCTTCCACAGATGATATTTTTTTTATGGATTCTTTGTCAAAGCACTTCAGATATTCATTGCTATCGGGATGTTAAGAGCATTCCATGGAATATAACAAAAAGTGTATCTCGAGCCGGTTTCTCAAACTTACCTACCCCACCTTTAAAGATGAATGCAATTACATTTAAAAAGTTTTAAACAGAACTGTTACAGATGCAGATGCTTGGTCCAAATTCCATAAAATATACCAACCAGTAGCGCCACACTCAGACGAAAATGTACAAAGCCTATTCTTCCACTATTTGTATTCCCACATTATTCACCAAGCCAGCCCATGCTTTAATATAGATATTATGGATATTGTTATAATTCCTGCTGTCTTTTGTGAACTTCTAATTATTTGTAATTGTTCTGTTCCCACAGATGCTGTAGTAAACCACCATCCAGGGACCAAGACAATCAGATATAAGAACATCCATTAACACAAGAATTTGTGAGTAAAGGCACGAAAAAAACAAGATTGACGATCAAATAGGGTACACAGACTGTTTTTTTGGCCCTGTATGAAATAACAATGCATCATTTATTAACTATACCTATACAAATGTAATACATTTTCCCCTTCATTATGTAATAACACCCTCCTTTTGTAATAATTTGCCCATTATGTAGTAAACAAGTTCAATGCAAATATGTAATACATGTCGCCACATTTTGAATATATTATTACATATTGCTGTGGTTATTACAAAATGAGTTGCAAACATACATTACAACTGTTTATTTATTTATTCAACCATGAATCCATCCTTACTCATAATCTTAAAATACTTCAGTAGAATATCTTATCATTGGCAAAACTAGATCAATGTGTTACCATATTCTATTAGCCAACATGTATATCAACATCAAATTTTGGGATATAGTTTACAGTTTGGTTATGGTTACATAATGAAATACTTACAGTTTTTTTAAAAAAGGGCAACTCACCATTTGTAATAACCATTGCAAAATGTAATAATTTATTACAAAATGCAGGGACATTTATTTTATATTGCGTTCAGGATGTTACAGAATGCAGCAGATTATTACAAAATGTGGGTTTTATTACATAATTACATTAAATGTTCTTGAGTCATTACATAATGTGTTGTTTATTAGGCCTTTTCTTTATTCTTTCCTTGTCCTTCTTTTAATAGAGTATATTTTGATAACTGTTACACAATTGATAGAAACAAACAAATTAAGCTTCTCATTATCAGACTCAGCTCTTAGCGCTTAAGCTTTCTTTTAAATGTTGATAAACCAAGGTAATGCTCTTTCAAAAAATAAAAAAAGACACCAGAGCCTGTTTTAGATATTGTAATTACACAAGGAATAAAACTTGAAGTGGTTACCTGTTACAAAGTACCTTGGTATCTATGGCTTGATGATTGTCTCACTTTTAAACTTCAATGTCCAATAACCTGCTTAAAAAACTGAGGGTTAGGCTAGGTTTCTTTTCCAGGAACAAGTCCTGTTTCTCACTTGAGGCCAGAAAAAGGCTCTGTGACCTTTCTGACCTGTGCCTGGACTATGGTGATCTGATCTATATGAATGCACCTGCCAATTACCTGGTCAAGTTAGATGGCCGCCTATCACAGTGCCCGGAGATTTGCTGACAAACTGTAAAGCATTAACCCATCACTGTACCCTGTATGCAAGGGCAGGTTTGCCTTCACTAACTGTACGGAGGCTCAGTCACCTGGTACATTTTTATATACAAAGCCATGTTAGGGAGAACTTCCATCTACATCTGCTCCCTGATCTCACGGCGAATTGTAAGTGGCCTACTGCCTGAGATCGAATGTGGTCGATTTTATTAAATGTGCCAACTGCTAGGACTGTCTTAGGGAGATAGCATTTAGATGCGCAGCTCCGCTAACTTGGAACAGTCTGAGCAATTTGGTTCCACTAAATTCAGTTTTTAAAGCAAGGATAGATGCTATCCAATCGGAAACTGTTAGGAACCTGTAATGTTACTAGCTATGTAAACTGTAGTCACTGTAATATGCTGTATGATGTCCTTTTTTTTGTTTTTCTGTTATGTTTATATGTATTCATGTGGAACCTACTTGCAGCAGCAGGTCACCCTTGAAAAAGAGATCAATGATCTCAATGGGATTCACCTGCATAGATAAAGTTTGAAATTAAATGAAAGATTTTTTGTTATCAGAACATGCATTTCTCCTCATTGTGAACATATATTGCACTCATGTTCAGAATATATGGTACGTTACATGTCTTTTATAATCTGAATATATAAAGTGCATACATGTCCCCATATAATTGTGAATATATAGCGCATACATGTCCCCCATATAATTGTGAATATATATAGTACATGTCCCCATATAATTTGTGAATATATTCTACATACATGTCCCCAATATAAATCTGAATATATAGCGCATACATGTCCCCATATATTTGTGAATATATATAGTACATGTCCCCATATAAATGTTATATATAGTAAATGTATGTTCACATATATACACAACCAATATATTATATATATTTACATATATTACTCAATATATGGAAAGCGGCAATTACTGATGTATTATCACATATATTACAATATATTATGACAATATATTATTCAATATATATATATTGTAATATATTAACACAATATATTATTCTATATATCTTCAATATATTTTCAATATATTTTGTAGATATGAATAAATATGTTTTTCATGTTGATTATTAATCAGTATCAGTTGGTGTAGCCAACAGCAAGATTTCCTTTATTAAATCTTTTCAATTAACCAGTAAATCAGAAAACAAAATAATGCAATATATTGACAGTTAATATATGGGGAAATATATTTTCTTTGCGTAAGGGTGTGGTGTGTGGTGTGTGGTGTGTGGGGTGTGTGTGTGTGTGTGGTGTGTGTGTGTGTGTGTGTGTGTGTGTGTGTGTGTGTGTGTGTGTGTGCATAAAGCTTAAGCTGGAAAAAGAAAGGAATAAAATGTTATTATACTAATTGTTTTGATTGTGAGCTTTAAACTGACGTTTTTCAACATCTAAGGAACTACTCTCGATTACATCACAAGTTATTGGCAATTTCTTTTCATAGATTAAATTAACTATTACTTATCGTTAAGAGACTTAAAGTTAATTTAAACCCAGACAAAGAAAAGTGAATAAAACGTTTAAAAACTTGGAAAAAACTTAATTTTTTGCTTTTAAAGTTGAAGCCAATTTAGACTTACTTTTTACAACAAATAGGAAACGACCTAATATTATGTTACACGTTTCTTTACTTTTCTTTACGAGTTTGTTTTGATGTTGAACTTGTTGATCAGTGGAGTCTGATGGAGGCAGAAGGTTCTCCAACGTTTTCATAGGTCACTACACCTTCATCTTCATCATTATGCACCTGTACAAATAAACACAACACACTTGAGAAACTGATATCAAATGGAAGAAGTGAATCACCTCTTTTGCAGCAATCACTAACGTAATAAATAATACAATTAGTACTGTTTCATTCTTATTGTAAAGACTGAAATACTAATAACACAAGCGTTGATTATTTAGAAACTCACTGCATTATCATCCGTCTGTGCTCTGTTCCCTGAAAAGACAAGAAAGAGTAAACTTCAGTTTCAAGTCTCAATCCGGCTTTATCTAATATTAATTAAATAAAATGACTTCAGTGAATGTTCTCACCTTTAGCTCTCGTCCATATCGTGACCGTCACCACAATTATTATGAGCTATGCTAAACCGACAGACACGATGATGAACCTCAACCAATCTGGAACAGAGAGAAAAAACATTTAAAATATTTTGGCAGCAGCTTACTAGACCATTTCAAATCCTGCGCTTCAAAGAATTCACATGTTTCCTTAATATTTATTTGGTCTAACATTTATAATGTAGGCTGCATAAGGAGTCAGAGAGATGGATGTTAGTCACTACCTTGTCCTGGGGGATCATTTCTCCCTGCTGGTGTGCTTCCTTTTGGTGAGGATTCAATGAAATCACAAAACACAACACAAGATATACAAACAACTTTAAGTTTAACATCTGACGAGACTTAATGAAACGTAATGTAATCTTTACACTTAAAATCATCAAATAAAATAAAATGTACCCGTTTTCTGACACGAGGACTGGGGTCCAGCATCACACAGCAGAGTTTCTCCAGTCTCAGTATCTGTCACGTTACACTTGAGCGACTTTTGATCAAGATGAGAAGCAAATGTCACCCTGGATACACAGGCACCTGGTCTTATCTCCACGTCATTCTGATTACCCTCGTACACCCACTTCACTGTGTGTTTACACTCATTGTATGTCCACACAGCGCAGAACAAGGTGACATTATCATTTTGTTTATCTTGAGTTACTGAAAATAGAGATAATGTGAGAGAAAGACAACAAGAGTATAATTAACTTTATCACTGATATCATAATTATTGTTGTGTTATAGTATATTGACAGTATGAGAGGAAAACATTATGATGTAAATACTCACTGTTAATAACAGACAGAAGAACAGGAAAGTCTGGACCTTGTTGTTTTCCTGATCTGTTGAACTGTCTGCAGGTAAAATGACCAACATCCTCAGGTGTGATATTTCTTATAACCAGAGAACAGTTTTCTGTAACACTCAGTCTGTCTGATTTAGCTTTGGAAATCACGTCTGTACTTATCTGCCCAAGATTAATCAGCTCGTTTGCTGTTTCCCCATGACGACTGTAGACCCAGGTAGTACTGTTACATTTGTGCTGATGTTTTATCACATTTTCACAAGGCAAAGTGACATTATGTCCAGCTCTGACAGTGAGGAAGGGGGAAGTTTGTCCAGTGACTGCTGTTAAAGATAAAAGAAAGAAAACATTGAAAACAGTTTCTTTATAGTTATGTATGAAGATGATAATACATAAAACAAACGTTATCAAATGTCCCTTCTCCAAGAATCCACCCATAATACTTTGTTCAAAACAAACAGCAAACTTGGCCCTTCACTCAAATCAGTTTTAGTTATTGAAATACTTTAAGTAAAGTTTCTTTAGTTCATGTATGTGTTTTTCATCCTTACCTGTAAACTGAAGCAGCAGTATCACCACTAATGTTGAATTAATCCGTCTGAATTCAACCATCGTGTCTCTGCGTCTCTGTCTCTCGCTCTCACGCCCTCAACTGACGTCTCTGAACTAATGACTCTGTAGAAGAGAGAAAGATGTACTTTCTTTTGAGGAAGTTTAGTTGCAAAAACATTTGTGCAAATATGGTGCTAAAATACAGCATTGCATTTAAAAAAAAAAGTGACGTTGACGGAGCACATTGATGCTCACGTGACTCAAACTCCCCGCCCACCAGCATTTGACGCCCATGGTGCAATATGGTCATAGTGGGGGAAATTACTAATGTTTTAGTGGCTTGAGAATCAGTTGCTTCTTCAAAGTGGCTCAGTGTTATTTTCTGAGTACTGATGGGGAAGTGTTTCTGTGAGAATGTGTTCAACAGCAGCAGCAGCAGAGCTCTGGAGGTGTTACCCTCTGATGATGAGCAGACAAGCATCAGACATCATCTGTTTGTTCACACCCTGTAAGAACACAATTGGTCAGAATAACCAATATCCTTAGATGGCTTTGTGGGCAGTGCAGAAGAGGAGGAGCGAAAAAACTAAACAGAAGTTCACTCCTTGAAACTCTGAACGTCTGTTTTCTATTATAGTCAGATCTAAAGATAACGGTATGGACGGTTTTAATAGTATCTCTCTAACAGAAATGCTTACATGTCAGTGTGCTATTTTTGTAACTATGCTCCATAGGTGTATAAAAAGGACTGTATACAGAGTTGGAGGCGGGACCTTGTTCATTGTTATGAGAGTTGGTCAGGGACACATGAAGTCAAATTGGCCTGCCTCTCGAGAGCAAAAGTACCCTTAAGCCCCGCCTCCAATCTGCAGCTTCAAGGCCAATCTCGTCTCAGTCAAATGAATGGAGAGGTTTAATATCTCTGGATTCAGCTTTTAGCACATTTTACAACTTTTAGACCCTAGTGATTTAAAGAAGGGCTATACAAGTGTTCGTACTGGGTAGTTGATTTAGTTTTTTTAAAAGATCTGCAGATATACAGACGTCTCTTTCCCAATGTAAGTCAATGGGAAAAGGATTTTGGGCCCAATAGGTGCGTTCACACCGGAGTACTTTGGTGTACTTTTCCCACAATAGTTCATCAGAACTACGATATATTTGCGTTCACACCAAAAAGCCCCAGGAACTAAAGTAGCTCAACTTAGTTCGTCAGACCCGCTTTTCAGTCCCTGCTAGAGAGCAGGGACTGTCGTGGGAGAAAGTAGTTCGTACGTCTGATTGGCTGTGCGGAATGCAAACCACGCCCGTTTGACTCTGAATTTTTTTTTGGAAGCGGCCAATGTATTTGCTCGCTTACCCGAAGAGATTACTTTTGTGAAAGCAGTTATTATAGCAACACTAAATAAATCATCGGAGCGGTGGAATTGATGAGGATGTCTCGGCGCTTCTGGCGATTTACTCGGAGGACGCGAAGCGCGGCATTCAGAAGCTTCTACTGAATGCAGTTTCCGTGAATCAGCAAAGTTAGCAGACCTGGCAAAGTCATGTCGGGACGACTACCAAGGTAAAATAAAATACATGCACTGCACTGTTTTAATCTGCACAATACTGGTCTTAGATGTACTTTTATTTGCTCAGTAGATCGAGCTAGCCATGCTAGAACTTGCTAACGTTAGGTCCAAGCTGGCTAACAACATCTAGCTAGCTAGCTATTCTCAGCCATGCCCGCTATGAACACGTTTTGACTTGTGAATAAGGGTGCAATGTTCTGTAATTTGCTTCACTAACTCATGGCACTAATCGTGTGTTTCAGGCGAGGTGTTTCTCTCAGGATTAGAAACTAGTTTTCCCCTCCGGGATAAAACGATAATATAACGTTAGCAATTAGCATGCTAGCTGGACATAATGCTACCTCTGTGGCTACACTGAATGCATAGAGGTAAACAATAGATTGTAGTTGCTATAATTTCAAGTAATTTGCAACATTCATTCTACATGTTAATGGTAAAAGCTTAAACAGTTGATTACCTGCATGCCACAGAGACTGATGTTCTAATATTTTTGCACATTTAAGTAGAAATGTAATTGAAATTCTATTTACTGCCTAAACATTGTTCCTTGTCATAGTATTATCCTAAATAGTTTGACCTTGTTTCCTCAGAAGGCTTCTCAGACTACATGGAGGATCCCTCAGAGAAACACAGTTTCCACGTTCAGTTCCCCCCCGCTGAGAGTAGGCAGCTCCACACCCTGCGCCCGGTCAGCGGACACCATCAGGACTACTATCTGATCACAGAGGATCCCATCCTGACCGCTGCTGCCATACTGCAGCAAACAGGAGGGAACGGAGGTGAAAACACACTTTATACATTTAGATATGTGGAGCACAAAGAAAAGTGTTGAGTTTAACTATAAAAGTATTAGGTTCAACTAACCTAATACCGTTATATGAACTTTGCTGTGTTTTCAGCGTAGCTTTGTAAAGGTAACATTTAGCAGCTAAACTGTGGATAACAAGTAAACCACATTGGTTTGTTATTCAATATGGCCGCCAAAAGCTTTTTGAATCATTACATGTCACTTGTTAGACGCTTTTATCCAAAGCTTACCTACTCAATACTGTGGGCAATCCCCACAGGAGCACTTTGGGGTGAAGTGTCTCAGGGACACAACGACATGCTGACTGCAGTGGGGTTTGAACCTGTGCTCCCTTGATCCGAACACCAATGCACTTATCCACTGCGCCACACGCCTCCCTATCATGTCCTGAGAGCCCTCCATCCCCCAATTGCTAGTGCCTTCACCATTTAAAATGTTAATAGTCAAATCAAAGGTGTTCCCCATGTTCCTCCTGTTGTGTGCCTGCAGAGACAGACTCAGAGGTGGAGATCGCCCACAGTGATGACTCTGACGTGGGGGGCTCTCTGTTATGGGCTGCTCCCCTTCCGGTATTTGGACAATGTTGTGTCGTTGTTGCGATTAAACTGATCTTGTATCTTGCATATTTCACCTTAGGAAAGTGGGCACGCGATGACAGCTTCCTTGACACCATCATGGCGATGGACCGCCGTGCCATGGTCAGCAAGGAGAATGAGGACCTGCGTGCCAAGGAGATGCACGACGAACGGCTGCTGCATTCACACAAGGCCCAGGAATCGAGGTGGAGCAACAAAATACCTTTCAGGCTGGGCTTCTGGCAGTGCTAAGCGAGCTGATTAAATCCAACAGGCCTTCAATACAAAAATTAAGAAAAACTTGTCGTTGATAAACTGTACAATGACTTGTTGGGAGGCGTGTGGTGCAGTGGTCTGGTGCGTTGGTGTTCGGATCAGGGGAGCACAGGTTCAAACCCCACTGCAGTCAGGATGTCGTTGTGTCCCTGGGCAAGACACTTCACCCCAAATTGCCTACACCTGGGACAGTTCATTTTGTATTATTGTGATTATATATATATGCCACTGTTATTAATACTGACACCTAATTTTGCACTAAGGTGTGTCTGCTGCTGAGCCTACCTATTATTATTATTATATATATATATATATATATATATATTATATTGCCACTGTTATTATATTGTTTTGATACTACTGACACTTATTGATCTGCTGCTGATAAATAAAAGAGAACCTACATGCACAGCACTAGCATCATGACTGTCTTTGTTTAAACCAGCAGCAGTGCAGCGGTACACAGACTAACCTGTGTGTGTGTGTGTGTAACGTAGTTCTTCAGATGTGTATGCTTAACATGTATGTATTTATCACAGTAAAGATGGTATACAAAAGCTTTTTAAAGAGCTTTCAACCTCATCCCATTGTCTTTAACACACATTTAACATAATATACTCATAATAATATCCAAATATACAGTATGAGTACTGTTTTGATACTGACATTTCATCTTTGCACTAAGATGTGTCTGCACTATTGTAATTGTGTCTGTTGACTGTGGTAAATAAAAGAGAGAACCAAAGCACTGTACAAAAGATCAGCTTTATTGTCAATTTACAATTTCCATGCTGTTCAGATGCCTCAAGGGCTGTGCGCATTTTTTAGGTTGCGTCTCCCCAATGTTGCTTCCAGGCGAATACAGAGGAGTTGAAAAGATCCACTTTGATCCACTGCACATTGGTGTACACCAGGCCGAGGTTCTATTGTTCACCCAGAGAGAGCGCGGGACACGACGCGTTCCGTAGTATTCGCAT